GAAGCACATGCAAGAGCTGGGTGTAGTAAAGTTCTCGCCCCGTGGGTTCGATCCTCAACCCAACATAAAGATAAAATAAAGATATTGTGTCCACCTAAAACTAAAAATAAATATTAAAAAAGAGAGAGAGAGAGAGAGACATGAAAAAAATGTTGGGAAAGGGGCTGGGGTTGTAGCCCAGTGGTAGAGTGCTTGCCTAGCACATGTGAGGCACTGAGTTCGATCCTCAGAGAAAGAAAGGAAGGAAGGAAGGAAGAAGGAAGGAAGGAAAGAAGAAAGGGAATTGTTTACATTTACAACTAAAAAAAAATTTAAAAAAATGTTGGGAAAGAGCCATCAAATTGCATCAAATTGTTCATAATGGTAACTTTTGAGAAATGGAGGACCTTCATGTTCAACTTTCTCTTATTAAACAAAAGTTGAGAATTTTGTTTCTAGATTTTTAAAAATACTTCTTATTACCACATGTTCACTAATGTTCACAATAAATACTCTGAAAGATGTTGTAGCTCAGTGGTAGAGCGCTTGCCTAGCACGGGTGAGGCTCTGGGTTTGAGCTTTGGCACCACATAAAAATAAATAAAATAAAAGTATTGTGTCCATCTACAACTGAAAAAAAAAATTAAAAAAAAAGAAAAGGCTGTCAAATATCCCTGACATTGTCTATCGTGTTGCTTTCTGAGCTGAATTGCATCATTATTGCTACTTTAAAGACCACTATAGTTTTTCTCCTGTGCCTTTGCACTTGCTTCTATGTAAAAAAAGAAAAACAATCTAAAATTAATATTTTTTTTAAATAGGGATAGCAATGGGTGTAAGAGTTTACTAAATATTCCTGTATTTTGCAGAGGGGATTTTTTTTTGGGGGGGGGCAGGGTGTGGGTAACTGGGGATTGAATCAGCCATTTTTATTTTTTACTTCTTATTTTGAGACAGGGTCTTTCTAAGTTGCTGGGGCTGGCTTCGAACTTACGATCCTCCTGCCTCTGTAATGCTGGGATTATAGACATGGGCCTCCATACGTGGCACAAAGGGGATATTTTTGATACTCATAAAATTTCATGTGTGTATGTTCTAAATACATCAGGAACTTTAAATCGTCTCTAAATTCTAAAAAAGAATTGGTAATATTATTTTCCTTCAGGGACTTTGTTGCTTTCTTTTTAAAGATCTTGCATATTTCTTCTTAGGTTCAAGGTAATGCGCGCGCATGCGCGCACACACACACACACACACACACACACACACATACACACATTTGCCTTGTTTTAAAAGTAACGATGCATACAGTTAAAAAAATAGTATAGAAGTGTTTCATTCCTCTGCATCCTTAGTTATATTCTCCAAAAATTTAACTACTTTTTAATCCTTTTATCTACTACCAGAAGTGGTAGTTTATTCCAAAACTCTAATTGTATTTGATATTTTAGTTGCTTTTGTGAATAGAATCTCATCCACCCATTTTATTCCCTAATGACTTAAAAGACTTTTTTGGGGGTAAATTTAGTATCACTTTTCTGAAGTCCTTTAGGTTCAAATAACTTTTGTTTCCAAAAACTTTTATTTTTAAAATATATTACACATAGGAATGAATACATGCATATGTTTGTAAATGCAAAAGTCAACATAGTGACACGTTTCCTTCTTCCCATTTCTTATGCCTGGAGATAGCCTCTATTAAACATTTTTAGTATGTCCCTTCTCCTTACACAAAGAAAAATTTATTAATATTTTTTAGTTGTAGATGGACACAATACCTTTTATTTATTTTTATGTGGCTGAAGATCGAACCCAGTGCTTCACATGTGCAAGCCAAATGAGCTCCCCTGAGCCACAACCCCAGCCCAGAGAGATTTATTTTTGCTCAGTTTCAGAGGTTTGTTCATAGTTGGCATTTTCAAGCAAATGCCATAATTTCATGTTTCTTTATGGCTGAGTAATATTCCATTGTGTATATGTACATTTCCTTTCTTTTTCAAAAAATATTATTAGTTGTAGATGGACACAATACCTTTATTTAGTTTTTTATGTGGTGCTGAGAATCAAACCCAGTGCCTCACACATGCTATGTAAGTGCCCTACCACTGAGCCACAACCCCAGCCCCATATATACATTTTCTTTATCCACTCATCTGTTGAAGGGCACTTGGATTGGTTCCCTAGCTGTGCTATTATGAATTGAGCTGCTATAACATTGATGTGGCTGTGTCACTACAGTATGCTGATTCTAAGTCCTTTGGGTATATGCCATGGTGTGTAGGACAACTGGGTCAAATGGTGGTTCTACTGCAAGTTTTCTGAGAATCTCCATACTGCTTTCCAGAGTGGTTGCACCAATTTGCAATCCCACCAGCAATGTATAAGAGCATATTTTCATAATAGCGTCTGGTTGTGTTATCTTTTGTGCTCTAACAAGTTTTTGTTGTTGTTGTTTGTTTTTGAGGTGCCAGGGATTGAACACAGGTCCTCACAGCACTTGCTAGAAAAGCACCCTCCCACTGAGCTATACCCAGCCCTCTAAAAAGTTTTAACATCAGAATTACGACAAATGAATAATAATAAATAATTTAATATTTCGGCCTGTCATGGAAGAGTTCCTAAAATATTTCATAGATCTCACCTGTAAAAATATATTGTTTTGGGCCATTTTTAGCATAGCTATTTGACTTTTAAAAATTTTGGGGGGGCTGGGGATGTGGCTCAAGCAGTAGCGCGCTAGCCTGGCATTCGCGGGGCACTGGGTTCGATCCTCAGCACCACATAAAAATAAAATAAAGATGTTGTGTCCACCGAAAACTAAAAAAATAAATATTAAAAATTCTCTCTCTCTTTAAAAAATGTTTTTTAAATTATTTGCTCTAATTTAAAAAGTGTTCCTTTTAGAGGAAAGTCTATTCAAAGTTCACCTCTTCTCCAGTCAATTCTGATGTCAAGTCAATTTATTAAAATCACACTTTGTTCAGATTTTCCAGTATTTTACAAATACACTGAAATTTAAGTTTTTTATTTAACTGGATACAAAACATACATCATAAAGTGTTTAGTGGTTTCCAGCATATTCACAAATTTGTGACATCTAGAACAGTAATTCCACATTTTCATCACTCAACAAGAAAAGGGTCCTTTTCAGTTTAAACATATCATCATTTCAGTTTTTCATTCTCAATACCATCTATTTTCATCTTTATTTCATCACTGGAATCACTAAAATTTGTCTCCCTTTCTCTTTTCCACAAAATAATTAAAATTTTTGCTTTTGATAATTTTTATTTCTTTTTATAATCCCTTCCTCCTCTCAAAATACACTTTTGCCTATTTTAGGTTCTTGGATTCCACTGTAATTTTATTTCTTAATAATCTTTATAGCACTTTGATATACACATGTACATTAAGTTAAAAATCTTCGATACAGCTTTTATTGCCACAGGTTTTTCAACAGTGTTGTCAGTTTCATTTGCATCTGAATAACATATACAAAGTGATATATTTCCTTAACCCATGTTAATTAAGAGGAGATATTGAACTAACACTCAGATATTTGATGGTCATCTACTTTTACTATTTTCCCTATTCTGTGCAAAGAATGTGATCTGTATGCTTTCTGCTTTTTTGGAACCAATTAGGAAAAATATCAACTCTTCTTGCTATTGTGACAGTTGTGATTTTAAACTGCCCATCGCTATAACCAAGGCATTCTTCCTACAGCATGAAGGATGAAGTCTGAATAAAGACTATCCACATAAATCTTTTTTCCCTTTTAAAATTCCACACTGACCAAGGAGTAGTAGGGGAAAGGTGTTCTTTCCCATAGTCATTATAATTATTTTTCTTCTTCCTTTATGAATTCTTTGACAAAGTTAAACAATATGGTTAAAGTCCTTCCCACAAGTCATAATGAAGATAATTATGAGAATAAGTAGATCAATGATAATAGAGAAAAACATTTATTAAACATATACTAGTTGGTAGGAATAACATTTATTAAACATATACTAGTTGGTAGGAATAGATCTAAGTACCTTGTACCAATTCACTGAGTCCTCATGGCCAAACCAATACATACACGATTGTATATATTTATACATAAGAAATAAAACACGACTAACATGTATAAGAAAAAATGTGTTAAGTATCTGGAAGAATAAACACTTTTGTAAACAGTGATTACTTTTCCAATATGGCTTTAGGATTTGGATTAATGAAAAGGAACAAAATAGTTTATAAAGAGAAAACATGACTAATTTCAGCAATTAAAATAAATGTTTTAAAAGGAAAAACCAGGCATTTAAAGATAAAAGTTTACACACTATAAAAATTTAGAGGCAATCCTAACTTGAATAATAGTCCTTTTAAAAAGGTATATGTCATTAAAAATAATAAAAACCTATATTTACTAAAATGGCTATTATGTTTTTGGCATAATAAAAGCAAGTGACGATACGGCATACATGCCATGACTTCACTTCCTTAAAATATGATGTCTAGCAGAATTTGCTCTACCAAATTGAGAGCAGTCATCTATAGCATAACTATAATTCATTTTGGCTTTTTTAGCTTCTGCCTTTTTATGTTTTCTGATTGTTTTACAATAAAAATATAAACTTGTGAAATGAAACAAAAAAATTAACACTGACTTCAAAAACAAAGTTATAGCTGGGTACAGTGGCACACATTTGTAATCCCAGCAGCTCGGGAGGCTGAGGCAGAAGGATTATGAGTTCAAAGCCAGCCTTGGCAAAAACAAGGCACTAAGCAACTCAGTGAGACCCTTTCTCTAAATAAAATACAGAGTCGGGGATGTGCTCAGTGGTTGAGAGCCCCTGAGTTTAATCCCCAGCACTAACCCCCGCCCCAAATTTATAATTCCACAAGGAATTTCAAATTATGAAAGGTCACACAATTTAAACAGTGTGATACTAATGCAAGAACAAGGCTGGGGCTGTAGCTCAGTGGCAGAGAGCTTGCCTAGCATGTGTGAGTTACTCACTGGGTTTGATCCTCAGCACCATATAAAAATAAACAAAGGCATTCTCTCCATACAAAACTACAAAAATTTTTTTTTAAATAACAAATATCAGAAAAGGGAAGAACTCTAAAATACAAGCAAATACATACAAGAATATAATATAGCACCAAACAATGGGGGAAAGAAAGAATTACTGAACAACTTGCATTGATTGCTACAATATGGAGGGGATGTCAATTTAGACTCTAAATTCATATCCTAGAGTGAAATGCATTTGGATTGAAAACTTGCATACAAATAAAACATAGATACAGGGTAACTACCAAATATGAATTTTTGTCTAAAACATTAAGATGACAAGAGTCATAATTTTTATTATTAGTTAGTATGAATTCCTTGATGACGAATGAGATCTGAGCCACTACTAAAGGCCTTCCCACATTCCTTACAATTATAGGGCTTCTCACCACTGTGAATTCTCAAATGGCGAGTAAGATTTGAGCATTTATTGAAAGCCTTTCCACATTCACTACATTCATATGGTTTTTCATCTGTATGGATTCTCTGATGCTGGAAAAGTTGTGAGTTCTGAGTAAAAGCCTTCCCACATTCAAGACATTCAAAGGGCTTCTCACCAGCATGAATTCTCTGATGTTGGCGAAGTTGTGAGCTCTGAGTAAAAGCCTTCCCACATTCCTTGCAATTGTAGGGTTTCTCACCAGTGTGGATTCTCTGATGGTTAGTAAGTGCTGAGCCACTGCTAAAGGCTTTGCTACATTCCTTACACTCATAGGGTTTCTCACCAGTGTGGATTCTCTGATGCTGAACAAGTTTTGAGCTCTGAGTAAAGGCTTTGCCACATTGCTTACATTCATAGGGTTTCTCGCCTGTATGAATCCGCACATGTTGAAACAGCTGAGAGCTCTTAGTAAAGGCTTTCCCACATACTTTACATTTGTAGGGTTTTTCACCAGTGTGAATTCGCTGGTGATCAATAAGATTTGAGCAATAACTAAAGGCTTTCCCACACTCCTTACATTCATAGGGTTTCTTACCAGTATGAATTCTCTGATGTTGAGAAAGGTATGAGCTACAACTGAAAGCCTTTCCACAGTCTTTACATTCAAAGGGTTTTTCACCAGTATGAATTTTCAGATGCCGAGTAACATGTGAGCCACAACTAAAGAATTTCCCACACTCCTTACATTCATAAGATTTTTCACCAATATGAATTCTCTGATGTTGAATAAATTGTGAGTTCTGACTAAAGGTCTTTCCACATTTTTTACATTCATAGGGTTTTTCTTCATTATTCATTATTTGATGTAGAGTAATGAAAGACTGTTGAATAAATGTGGGTACATATTCATTAGAGAATACTTCTTGACTTAAAAGCCCATTTTGTCTGGCAAAATGACTTCTATATTCTAAAACATTTCTAAAGCTGGAGTATTCAAGGCCAGGCTTTGTAAGTCCCATTATCTCCCTCTGGCATGACTCTATTTCATAAACTTCTTTCTTTAGAGATAATAACTTGCTTTCACACATTGATTCCAGGTCTGAAAGAAAAAAAAAAAGGGCTAAATATTCTTTTCCCCTCTTATTTGTGAAAAGTTAAATTTTATGATACAAATGGAAAAAATTAAAGTAAAAACTGTCTTGGGCTGAGGATGTATGTAGCTCAGTAGTAGAGTGCTTGCTCAGCACATGTGAAGCACTGGGTTCAAACCTCAGTACAACATATAAATAAATTAAATAAAGGTATTGTGTCCATCTACAACTAAAAATATTTTATTCCTTTTTAAAAAAATATTTTTTTAGTTGTAAATGAACATAATGCCTTTTTTAAAGTTTTTAATATGGTGCTGAGGATCAAACCCACACATGGCTCACACATGCCTCACACATGGTAGGCAAGCACTCTACCCCTGAGCTACAATCCCAGGTTGACAACTAAAAATATTTTTAAAAATACTATCTAGTGGGTAAATGACATAAAATTCTCAGTTACTGTTTAATCTAAAAAAAATAAGCAAGGAATGAACAGAAATTAATAAGATATAATTCAGGAAGCAGAGTGAGGAGAGTATGGAAATAAGTTACCACAATGATTCTCAAATACAGATGTGGGTCAATATCATCTGGAAAGGTTAGTAAAAATACAATGCTTGAGCTATATACTAAAACATGACTAGTCATATACACATGTACACATCTATATAACTGTGTGAGAAAGAGTACATTGTCATACTGTCTAACAAAACATGGATACTTTTTTGGCCTCCATTGAAGGTCTTCTAAGAGAACAAAATACACATGAGGAAGATTCTTTGGTATTCCATGGCATAATAAAAAGGAAGTTTTGGGGCTGGGGTTGTGGTTCAGTTGCAGAGTACTTGCCTAGCACATGTGAGGCACTGGGTTCAATCCTCAGCACCACATAAAAATAAATAAAATAAAGGAATGAGTCTATCTGCAACTAAAAAAATTAAAAAGCAAAAAAAGAAAATTTAGCCTTTTCCCTATTTTTTGACACAGAGCTTTAAAATTCCTTGGAACTTCATGAATGATAGCACTGTTTTGTTATGCCAATGAGGTGAAACAGGGTAATTCTTAGCTTCTAGGGACTGGTGACCAGAAAGACCAAGCATGTGATTAGAGCTGCGGCTTTTCGACTGCCTCATCTCTATAAAGGGGAGAAGGGGTAAAGACTGAGCTACCAATTGTTTAATCAAGCATGCCTAGTAAAAAAAGAACTCTGGACACGATATTTCAGTGGAAATTCCAGCTCGTGAATGCACTGATGTGCTGGGAGTGTGATACACTTGATTCCATGAGAAGAGGGTATGGAACTTCTATCCAGAAGCCTTCAAGATTTTGCCCTAGTATGTATTCTTTATACTAAAACTGTAATCTTAAATATAGAACTTTATTATTGAGTTCTATAAATCCTTCTATCAAATTATTGAAGCTAAGGTGGCCTTGGAAACCTCTGAATTTATAGCCAGTTGGTCAAATTGCATGCCATCTGAGAAATCCCAACACTTGAGGCTGGCTACTAAAGTAAGAGCAGTATTATGGAGGACTATGGGTTTGCACTAATATTGTCAAAATTGAATTGTAGCACACTCAGTTGGGGTAGAAACAGAATAAACTCTGTAATATAGAATGTAGTAGATGAAATTTGAAAGCAGTAATGAAGGGTTATCCATATGGAGGATGAGCCAGAGACAGAGTCTAAGGTATTGAACTAATTTAATTAGCAGATAGAGAAACTCAGAATAGTTTGTGTGCTGAGGATTCAATGAAAATACTATTTGCCCTGGATTTTGTGATGGTGATCTTAGGATAAGAGAGGTCTGAGACTGCTCATGTACCATCCCAGTGACTGAGTTTAAGGGAGACAGAAAGGAATTAAGACACAGTATAGCTGGGCACAGTGACATATACTTTTAATCCCAGCAACCCAGGAGGCTGAGAAGGGAGGATCACAAGTTTGAGGACAGCCTAAGCAATTTAGCAAGGTCCTGTTTCAAATATTTAAAAAGTGCTGGGGATGGTAGCTCCGTTTTAGATAGCCCCTGGGTTCTGTCCCCAGTAGTAAATGAAAAAAAAATTTTTTTAAAGACAGTATAACACTACCATAGAAAGATGTCAGGAACCAGACTAATGAAAGTTTAGTGCTAATTCTAATAGTTAATTACTGAAAATATGGTTTAGATATGAGGCGTCCCCCCAAAATTCAGTGTAAGACAATGCAAGAATATTGAGGTGAAATGATTGGATTATGAGATACATAACCTCATCAGTGAATAATCTACTGATATGGATTAACTGGATGGTAACTGTAGGCAGGTAGGTTGTGGCTGGAGGAAGTAGGTCAATGTAGTTGTAATCTGCTGTTTATTTTGTTCCTGGTGATCAGAGTTCTATCTCCACGCTTGCTGGCTGCCATGTCCTAAGCTATTTTTCTTTGCCATGCTTTTATGCCTCACTTGGGGCCTAGAGCTACAGAGATGGCTGACCATGGACTGAATTTCTGAAACTGTGAGCCAAAATAAACTCCTCCATCTAAATTGTTCTTGCCAGGGTATTTTGGTCATAGTGACACAAAAGCTAACAAAAACACTAAGTGTTCCCAGGCAATTATTAAACCTCTGAAAATCCTCATTTCTTCATCTGTAAGAGGGAAATAATCCTTAATTTCTGATTAACTTAGAGAATAAGAGAAAAATGATTATAAATGTCTTGGAGGTAAGTATTCAGTATCTGATAGCTATTATTATAAGAGACTTTTTTACTAAAAATGAGGATATTAGGCAAATTAAATGGCTCAAAAACATCCAAACAAAATGTATCTTAAGTCAGCACCGGGAATTTGGATCTTTAGAAAAGAGATTTTTCCCTCCTATTGGAGCCTTTACAGGGGTTCTTCCCTTTGTCTAGAGTTTTCTTCTTTATGAACATATACAGTAACAAGACATAGCAGTAAGCCTAGTACTACAATAATTCTAAAATATAGATAAGCATAAATAGTTCAACATGTTTACAATAATTATTAAAATGATACAAAAAAATCTGTGATTTCCATTCATTTTGAAGTCACAGGAAAGACTAATAAAAATGTCATAGGAACTACAGTTAGTTGCATACATCACAACAGGAAAAATGCTGTAGAGGTTACTAAATATAGATATTCATGTTTTTTCTTATCCAAGTTCATAGATTTCCAAATTCTATCAAAAGAATCCAAAATTAGGAGTTTCTGAGCAAGAATGATCCTTCATAAATACAATCAAGCTGGGTGCAATGGCACACACCTGTAGTCCCAACTACTCTGGAGGCTGAGATAAGACAACTGAAAGTTCAAGGCTATCCTCAGCAACTCAGCAAGATCCTATCTCAAATAATAAAAAAGGTCTGGGACGTAGCTCAGTAATAAAGTACCTTTGTGTTCAATCTCCAAGACAAAAAAAACCCACCACAATCATGTCACTCTGCTCAAATCATACAATGGATGCACATTTCAGAATAAAATTCAACCCTATCAAGGCCCACAAGACACTAACTCACCTGAAAATACCCCCCATCCTCCACCTCTGCAACCAGCACAGAGGTGCATATATACCTTGCTACTTTCCCATATCCACTTATATAATTCCCTTTTTAATCACTGGCAACAGCCACAGTGGTAGAAGCCAAAAAGCTTCTCACGCAGTCACTTTATTCTTCTTTTCCCTAAATCTCTTCTACCAGATATTTGCTTGTTCCCACACCTCTTTTAGACCTCTATTAAATATTACTTCATCATAGAAGCCTTCTCCAACCTCCCTTCATGGCACTTATCACCATCTGATTATATATGTATAATATATATATATATAATGTATTAATATATAATGTATAAATATTTATATAAGTATACAGTAAAGGAGCAAAAACTTTTTTTTTGTTCTTTTAGTACCAGGGATTGAACCCACGGGTGCTTTATCCACTGACCCACATTCCCTGCCCCTTTTATATTTTATTTTGAGACAGGGTCTTACTAAGTTGCTGAGGCTGGCTTTGAACTCATAATCCTCCTGCCTCAGCCTCCCTAGTCACTGGGATTACAGGTGTGTGCCACTGCGCCTGCCAAAAGAGCAAAAACTTCTAAGACTCTATCTATTTCAGTATGGATTAAATCTATGGCTACATATTTAGTCCTTGACCAAAGTACCCTAACTTCTCTTACTAGATAAGAAGATATATAAGCATATATTTTATAATATATAATTATAAATTATAAAATAATGGTAATTATAAATTACAAATAATACTACAATATGCCTACTTATAATGTTCAATTATATAACTGTAATTATAAATTACATAATATTTTATATAATTATATATTTATAAATAATACATATTTTTTTATAAATGACATATGTTTATACTCTGCTACAATTTGAATGTGTCTGCTCCAAAATTCAGGTGCTGCCAATGTCATAATATTAAGAGGTAGAGCTCTTCCCTCACAAATGGATAAAGTACCCTGATAAAGGCACTTGAAGAAGGGAATTGGTTCCATATTGCCCTTTTCCTATGTGAGGACATACAAGGTAAGCCCTCACTAGAGATGTTAGTACCTTGATCTTGGGTTCCCAGCCTCCAGAACTGTGAGAAAATAAATTTCTATTCTTTATAAATCATCCTATCTGAGGTATTCTGTTACAGCAACACAAAATGGCCTAAGCCATTTTCTTCCCTACTAGAAAATAGATTCTAGAATATATATTCCCAAACTATAGAGATTTGAGTGTTTTTATCAATACTAAATTGTAATAACTGGACCAATGTTTGGTATATAGTAGTGCCCTTCCAGTTCTCCTACTTCATCCTAAATTTCCCTTTCTCTGCCACTCTCTCTTTCTAGTATAGGCACAGATTTGGTTTTGGCCCTGATAATGTCTTGATACATAATGCCTACAATCACTTCCAAGGCTCCAACTACTATTTTTTTAATGTATATTTTTTTTAGTTATACATGGACACAATATCTTTATTTTATTTATTTTTTTGTGGTGCTGAGAATCGAACCCAGAGTCTCACACGTGCAAGGCAAGCACTCTACCGCTGAGCCACAACCCCAGCCCCTCCAACTAAGTAAGAATTAAATCCCCTCCCATGTATTTAGTCCATGACTTTCTGCTAAGCTCCCTAATTTTTTGGTTTCTCTTTTAATATTTTATTCTTTTTGGAAGTTATTTATGGATACATTTTAGCATCACTTTTTTGTGTAAGTGTTGGTACTGGAGATTGAATCCAGGGTTGCTGTAACACCAGGTTACACCCCTAGTCCTTTTTATTTATTTTGAGACAGAATCTTGTTAAGTTGTCAAGGTTAGCTTTGAACTTGTGAGTCAGCTTGAGTCTCTGGGATTGCAGGCCTGGGCCACCTGACCCTGCTAGATTGCATTTTTTTTTTTCCTCTTTCCACATTTAAAAATTGGTATAGATTTTGCATTATTTTTTGGTACTGGGGATTGAACCTAGGGGTGCTTAACCACTGAACCACATCCCCAGCCCACTTTTATATTTTTATTTAGACACGAGTCTTGCTGAGTTGCTTAGGGTCTCACTAAGTTGCTGAGGCTGGCTTTGAACTTTCGATCTTCCTGCCTCAGCTCCCAGAGCTGCTGGGATAACAGGCAGCTAACTTTGCATTCTTAGAGTGGACTTAATTAGTAAACTGCAGCACTGGAAGAGTTCCCTTACACAAATTAAGAAATAAAAGATGATAAGAGGAGGAAAAATCCAAGACAAACTGGTAAAAGAAGGCACTGACAGGCAGCTAGAGTGAAGACTAGTACTTGGGTGCTTGAAATTAAGGAGTGTTTGAGAAGAATGTTGAAAGAGTAGGAAGTAAGGGAAGGACTGAAACATGCCACTTGTAAACTCATGTTGAAATAACTTAGTTTCCTCCATAAGCCTAGCTTCTGGAAGGGAGCTTCCAGGGTGACATCTTGAAGGTGCTCTTTCCTCACTGACCAGCTGAGTTAGTACCTGTAATCACTGGGGTTTAGTCATTTCTCACTTACCTGAACACAGGCCTCTTGTAAGCTCTCTGCCCACCATCCAGGGCTCTTTTCCTTGTTCCAATAAAGAGATCACTTGAGGCTTAGGAATGTAAAATCCTGCTCATGAGAAAAGATATGGCACACGGTTATGCTGTGGGGAAATGAGATCCAGTCCCTTGCTGATCAAGGAACAGGTGCCACTACAGGAACAGCCAAAGAAGACAGAGACGAAGCTTCAGCCATAGCCCTTGGAGCTGCCCATTTCCCACGCTTCCTTTTCATTCCAGCTGAAACCATTTATTTGAGAATAAGAAGCAGAAATTCAGCTGATTACTTGAAAAGCTGCTGAGAAATTCACTGTAGTAGAAGCAGACATTCCAGAGGAGAACTCTGAATTATTGGTAGAGATGCCCTTACCCATCGAAACCAGATTGCTATAGTTTTCCAACATCACATCTCTGTACAAGTCCCTCTGAGCAGGGTCCAGGCACTCCCACTCCTCCTGAGAGAAGTCTATTGACACATCATTGAACACCACTGATCCCTGAAACAATAAACATATGTACTAGCTTTGTGATTAAAAAAAAAAATACTTCAGCCAGGCACAGTAGCACTTACTTGTAATTGTAGTGATTTGGAAGGCTAAGGCAGGAGGATCTCACGTTTGAGGCTAGGTTTGGCAACTTAGTGAAACCCCATCTCAAAATAAAAAATAAAAAGGGCTTGGGGCTGGAGTTGTGGCTCAGCGGTAGAGCCCTAGCCTAGCATGTTTGAGGCCCTGGATTTGATCCTCAGCACCACATAAAAATAAATAAATAAAATAAAGGTATAAAAAAATAAATAAAAAGGGCTGGTCAAGCATGGTGGCACATGTCAATAAACCCAATGCCTCAGGAGGCTGAGGCAGGAAGAACACAGGTTCAAAGCCAGCCTCAGCAATTTAGCGAGACCGTAAGCAATCTACTGAGATCCTGTCTCAAAATAAAAAAACAAGGTGGGGGTGCTGGGTGTGTGGCTCAGTGGCAGACTGCCTGTAACCTCAACCCCAAGTACTGCCAAAAAAAAAAAAAAAAGAAAGAAAGAAAGAAAGAAAAGAAAAAGAACAACTTCAGAGACTATTGTGCTTATATTGTGTGCTAAAGCAAATGAGTAATTATGTTGTTGTTGCTGAGAAATAGTATCTGAATTTTTTGGTGGGAGGTGGGGCTCTGTGGTGCTGGGGACTAAAGCCAGGTCCTTGCACATGCTGGATAAGAACTCTCCCAGTCCTTTTATCCGTTTTTAAAATTTTGAGACAGGGTCTCACTAAGTTGTCCAGGCTAGCCTAAAACTTGAAATCTTCCTGCCTCCCCTCCAAGTAGCTGGGATTATAGGCACGTGCCACCATGCCTGGCTTGAGAATCAGTATCTTTGGATCTCAAAAATAGGGCTGGGGATGTGGCTCAAGCAGTAGCACGTTCGCCTGGCATGTGTGGGGCACTGGGTTTGATCCTCAGCACCACATACAAATAAAGTAAAGATGTTGTGTCCACTGAAAACCAAAAAATTAAATATTAAAAAAAATTCTCTCTCTCTCTCTCTCTTTAAAAAAATAGATGCAAGTCTAGCAGGATTATTATTATGCTGCTGCATTATTTCAGCCACTTATGTATATCTTTCTGTGCTAAGGCAATCTTAATTTATTGTTTTGGTATGTTAGTTGACCCAAAGAGCGGTTGGCAATTACATAGAAAGAATTGGAGAATACTAATTTTTTTTTCTAATACTGTGTGTAACTGTGTTTAACACAGATATTTTACATTGTTTCTATAAGTAAAAACATCACTCTCATTTAATATCTTTTTAAAAATTTTTTGTTGTAGATGGATAGAATGCCTTTATTTTATTTATATATGGTGCTAAGAATCAAACCCAGTGCCTCGCACATGCCAGGCAAGTGCTCTGCCACTGAGCTACAGCTCCAGCTCTCTCATTTAATATCTTGCTGTTTTAAGTTAACCGGGGCAGATCTTCTCCTTTGATTGGTTTGGTTTCTCTGCGATGAGTCATGTAATGCTATACTGGATTGTCTAGAAAAAGCAGTCTCTTTATAACACAACTTCTATTAGTTAGGATGCTTAGGGAAGAGTTTTCTGGTTAGTCAGAAAATTCCCCCCCCCCTTTTTTTTCCTATTTCAACACTGGTTGAAAAAACAAAATATTATATTTTTTTGTCTTAACACAGTTTCCTAGGTGAAATTGAACTGTTTCTTGATTTGAGATCACTTAGCGCTTTGGGATCATGATTTCTAAATATTAGGGATGATCGTAGGATTGCAGGTATTGCTAGTTAATTGAGCTGGATGTAGCTCCTAAGATGAAGCAGGGTGTGTTCCCTGGAATTTTCCTTTTCAAATAAATCTCTCAATTTAAAAAAAAAAAAAATAGATGTGAAAATAATAAGTTTACTTTACATTAAACAAATGAACAAACAAATCCTGTCTCTGTCCATTGTGATGGCCTAGAAACAATCACTGACCCAGGAGCACAGAACACTCCAAGTTCTGGATTATAGTTTTCTAAGTATCACTGTCAGGGTGATTTTCAGGATTAAATAAAAAATGCTCAGGATGAGTGCGAAAATCTTGTTAGAACACGAAGCAAGATATCTACCATAAACTGTTAGGATCATGCTGAAAACACTCAGGAGTCATTTTGAAGACTTTCCCTTGGCCCAAAATGGTACAACTTATGTATCAAATTATAAGGATAATTACTGAAATGGACTAATCATGTTAAAAACGTCAAATCCATGAGGTTATAATAATACTAAAAAAACTATTGGTAACTTTTGGAGAATTTTAAGAAGCCAATGCATTATTTTGAAAACTGGTGAATAAATGCAAAAATTTAAATACTCTTGGCCACATGAACTGTTCTTCGGGTTACCAAACAGTTGATGAGGAAAAACTTTGCTTTACAGAAGAAGGAATGCCAACATTAAAATACCAGTATGCAACCCCTAATGAGTATAACAATAATTGTCAATAGTTGCTACATTATAAAAAGAAACAGAATCATTTATAATGTGACTCCTAATAGAATTACCCTTGATCTGTGAAATGTTCTGATCAAGTTTTTTTTTACACTTAACTACCAATTTTCAGAAAACATTTAAATGGGACCACAGTGATTCGATCAGTAAAATTCAGACAGTGGACAATGAAGTCTATTTACTTACATTCCAATAAAAAGACTGCACAGAAAGAAGAGATGGATGGGGTATCTATAAAATTAGAGACTCAAGAGACATACCAATCAACTGCAATGAACACTCCTTATCTGGATTCTAATTCAAATAAATGCTTTAAAAATAAGAGAATTATGAAAATATGAACACAACCAGGTACCAATGGCCAAAATGGTAATAATAAATAATAAACAATCCTTGTCTTTCAGAGGTAGGTATCAATTTCTCTTTGCTTCAAAACAATCTGCATGGAGGAATAAAGGTAAGGGAGGAAACATGAAGTGGAATAAATGAATAAGATGAACTGTGAGCAGACAGCTGTTGAAGCTGGTGGTTATGTGGTAGTTCTTAAGACTACTCTACTTTGTATATCTGAAAAATTTCTGTAATAAAGTTTAGTTTTTAAAGGCAGATGACAGAGAATAGTTACAACAGAATATCTGCAAGATCCTAATCATATATATATAATTGATTTAAACAAATTTGTGAAAGAACTCTCTTGTGAGGAAAGGAAGCAGAGAGTACTGATATAGCAAATCTAAATCTGCACATACATTGCAAAGAAATAACTAGAAAATGTCTAAACTTGATTGATCAAGAAATAGTAATATATGAACATTAATTTAAAATATGGGATAAATTCCATTGCATCAGCTAAAAGAAATGAGGGAGTCTGCCTTTAGACAGCAAGACAAAGTGGAGAAGAGGGCCCTACTCTTTAAACATTTCTTAATTTTTTTTTGTTTTTTTAAACCTCATTAGCTTTTTTTTTGTGTGTGTAGTTGTAGATGAACAGCATGTCTTTATTTTATTTGTTTATTTTTATTTGGTGCTAAGGATCAAACCCAGTGCCTCATACATGCAAGCAAGTACACTGCCACTGAGATACAGTCCCAGCCCCACTTTTTAAATTTTTAATATGTAAAACTTGACAAATACAGCAGGATGTGGTGGCATATGCCTGTAATCCCAGTAGCTCTGGAGGATGAGGCAGGAGGACTGCAAGTTCAAGGTCAGCCTCAGCAACTTAGTGAGACCTTGTCTAAAAGTAAAAAACTAAAAAGGGCTGGGATGTAGCTCAATGGATAAGCATCCCTGGGTTAAATCCCCAGTACCAAAAAAGAAAAATTGATAAATACATAAATTATACTTCACTCCTGTGATTCATTGCCATAAAAATTATTTCCTATTAATATAAATTCTTCATTTTTCTTGTGGCAGAATTTTTTGCAACATATACTACTGGACAAGAATTATAAGGTCCTTCTGAGCTTTGATAGAATGATCTCAACAACTTAGGCATTTGCCAAACTCATTATAGTCACCTATCATTTCTATCCTTATTTCTGAGATAAAAGAAAACTGATGATTCATAGAGAAATTCATCATGTCATAAACTTCCTATTACCTTCAAATTGGACTTGCCTAATGGATACTGGTACAGTATGGGTCTTAAATATCTCCCAAAGGCCTGTGTATTAAAGGCTTTCTCAGCTGGGAACTACTGGGAAACATGAAAAAGGGGTCCATGAAGAAGTCTTCTAGACATTGGAGAGTATGTTCTTGAAGGGAATATTGGAACTCCAGTCTTTTCCTCCTGTTTTTCTTCCCTGCAATGAGGTGAACAGTTTTACTCTACCACATGATCCCTGACACAACAGGCTGCCACACCACAGGCTCCAAAGCAATAGTGTCATTTGATCATGGAATGAAACCTCTGAAACTGAGACAAAATAAACTTTTTTGCTTTACAAGTTGATTATCTCAGGTAGTTTGCTATAGTAACAGAAAACTATTACAAAATGCCCTAACAAAGTCTCAGAGATCCATATCAGCCACTGACTCCATGATTTCTAACACCTCATAAACTAGGAGGTCTTTCAAAAATCTAACATTTGGAGCTATCAACACCACCTTTCATCTTATCCTATTGGAAAATGACAGTATATAGACATAATCTTGGCTTTTCCATGCTTGTTCCTAGCTAAGCTACTCATAGCTCTATTTTATCAAATCACAGTCCAGAAAGGAAAAATTCATTTTAGAAATCTACTCCTTTTTGTTTCTTTCCTTTATAGTGCTAGAAATTGAACCTTGTGTATGCAAGGCAAGCCCTCCACCAACTGAGCTACGTCCCCAGCCCCACAAATCTACTCTTATTTCTCTAAATAGATATATTTCTTCTCCATCACAGTCCCTGGGAGAAGGCTGAGAAAAAAGATGCTCAGTTATTTACTAAAAGAAATAGTAATGCTGATTGAAAAAAAAAAAAAAAAAAAAAAGACACTAAGAATGGTATAGGATTATCTAGCTAGTATGAGAGGGAATGGGGACCAGGAAGAGGAACAGTTATCCAAAAATGTCAGGATAAAGAAAGGAAATGCACACATCATTTTTTTTCTTTGGCAGAGGGGTCTTGCCAAATTGCCCACACTGGCCTCAAACTTGCAATACTCCTACCTCCGCCTCCCAAGGAGCTGGGATTCTGGTATGTGCCACTGTGCCCAGCTCACGTTTTCTTTCTTTCTTTCTTTTCCTTTTTTTAAAGTAAGTAAATGTCAGCAAAGAAAGAAAATGCATTGACTCACCTCAGCCATGGCTTTTAGTATTGCAGGAAATGATCAGTCCTCAAGGCTGTTCTCCTGAGAAAAGACACTGTTCTGAGAAGGCAAGACTAGGGAAACAAAGAAATACTCTAGATACTGCAATGACCTTATAGTTCTCAGGATGATCAGATAAAACCACTTCTACTTCCCTTGATCTACAACTCTACTCTGGGAGTATGAAACAAATACTACTTCTTTCTCAATTCTAGAAACCCCAGGTTTTAGCTGCACCAAAATAAATAAATGCCAGGAAACTTTTGACTTGCTTTTCCATATAGTTTTAAAAAACTATAGAGGTATTTTTCTTGAGACAGCATAAAAAGAAAAGCTTATGAGTTGGGAGTATAGTTCAGTGGTAGAGTGCCTACTTAGCATGTGTGAGGTCCTGTGTTTAATCCCCAGCACAAAATAGGGAGGGGAGAGAGAATGAAAAGATTAACTTCAGGAGTTCTCACATCTTTATGATTTTGAGTCTTGTTTTCCTTGAACACAAAATAACTGTCTATTTATTAAAGTCAATGTCTGTGTTCTTCAGGAACACGAAAAAAATTTTTCATATGGATCATGCTCATTTCTTATTCACATTATTACTAGATTTTTTTTTTTGTACTGAGGATCAAACCCAGGGTTGATTAACCACTGAGCCACATTCTCAGACCTTTTGATTTTTATTTTTTTTTTAAATTTTCAGAAAGGGTCTTGTTGAATTTAGGGCCTGGCTAAATTGCTATTGGAAATAAAGCAATTGTTTTCTAGTTTCCCATGTGGTACTATTTTTGTAATAGCTTTATGAAAAATATCTTAAATAAAATGTTGATAGTGCTTCTCCCTGATTTTAATAAGAATGATTTTATTATTTCACCTATTAGATATTAGAGCTTATTTGTTTTTATGGTTGGAGTTTGAACCCAGGGGCACCCTACTGCTGAGCTACTAACCCAATAGTTAATGCTTTATACCAGCTGGGTTCATCTTGACAAATTTGTTCATTCATGGAATTCTTTTTCAGTTTGGGTCATCCTCCCTCCTCCTCTCCTTCTCTTTCCCATCATTCTCCTTTCTCTACTAATCTACCTAGGCTCATCTTCCTTCCTCCCTCCCTCCTTCCTTCCATCCTACCAGGGATTAAATCCAGAACTGCTTAACCACTGAGCCATATCCCCAGCCCTTTTTATCTTTTATTTTGAGACAGGTTTCAGTAAGTTCTCAGTTCCTCGATATATTGCAGAGGCTGGCTTGGAACCTGTGTTCCTCCTATCTGAGCCTCCTGAGTTGCTGGGATTATAGGCATGCACCAGAGCTCCTGTTTATTTCTTTATTTTTATTGGTTCTTTCTACTTATATATAAAGGTAAAATTCCCTGTGGTATATTTATATATGTGCATAACATGATTTTTAAAAATTCATTCCACATTTCTTCCCCTTTCGTATCCTTCCTCTCTCCCTCTTGAACCCCTTCTTCTATTCTATAGATCTTCCCTGTATCTTCTTATTTTGAGATAGGGTCTCACTAAGTTTTCTTAGGGTCTCACTAAATTGTTGAGGCTGGCCTCAAACTTGCAATCCTTCTGCCTCAGCCTCCCAAGTTGCTGGGATTACGGGGTGCACCACCATACCTGGCTTTAATACCTTTTTAACACACAAATTTCCAAACATACACAGAATGTTTGGAAACATTTTTTGAACTTCAAAAAGTACAAAGAACCCTCATGAGTCTACTAAACAGAATCAACAATTATTGTTATAGCCAATATTATTTTACCTAGACTCCTACCCACTAATTTTAGGTTACCTTTATTTTAAGAGCTTTCAGATATACCATATGTAAAGATCACTTTAAGTCACCTACCTGAAGTGTACAAGTCAGTGTTTTTAGTATACTCATCACAATGTAGTTTTAGTACATTTTCATCTCTCCTAAAACAAAATAAACAAAACACTCATTAATAGCCAGTCTCCATTTATCCATTTTCCCTATCCCTAAGTAACCACTAATCTGCTTTCTGCCTCTACAAACTTGCCTACATGTTTTCAGTTCATATAAATGGTATTATATATAAACTTTATGACTGGATTATTTCATTTAGCATACTTTCAAGGTGCATCAATGTTGTAGCCTGTATCAGAGCTCCCTTCCTTTTTACGGCCAAATAATATTCCACTATGAATATGTCACATTTTGTTTATCCATTTTTCAGTTGATGGGCATTTGGGAAATTTCCACTTTTTGGCTATTTTGAAAAATGCTGCTATGAACATTCAGGTACAAGTTTTTATGTGAATATGTTTTCAATTCTCTTGGACATATAACTAGGAGTAGAACTGTATGGTAATTATGTAACTTTTTAATACTGTCAAACTGTTTTCTAAAGTGCAATTTCTCCAAATGCTCATTGACACTATTGCCTCTTTTTTTTTTTTTTTTTTTTTTTTTTTACTTTTCAGTTTTTCCTATTTTTCTTTTTTTCTTTTTTTTTTTTTTTTTTTTTTTTGTCATCCTGGTAGCTGTACAGTGGTTATCTCACTTTGGTTTTGATTTGTATTTTCCTAATGAGTAATGAAGTTGAGTCAGGATAGCATTTTTTTATAACTGTATATTTTTTTAGTTGTCGATGGACCTTTATTTATTTATATGTGGTGCTGAGAATTGAACCCAGAGCTTCACACATGTTAGGCAAGGGCTCTACCACTGAGCTACAACCCCAGCCCATGGATACCTTTTTAAAAAGAACCTAACTCTTGGGGCTGGGGTTATGGCTCAGTGATAGAGTGCTCACCTAGCACATGCAAGGCACTGGGTTTGATCCTCAGCACCACATAAAAAAATAAAAAGATAAATAAAATAAAGGTATTGTGTCCCACCTACAACTAAAATTATTTTTAAGAATGATATATACTATACATACATGGGAATTTATAAGAAGGAAATAGATCAAAATATTGACAGTGGTTATTTTTAGGGGGCAGGCATTATCTTTTGCCCTTTGTAACTTCCTATTTTCCAAATTTTTAAAAATAATCATGCTTCAGGTGTGTATATGTGCTTAAAAACAACTTAGTACACAGGAAAAAACCTTACCTATTTTCTAAATTAATATGTGAACATTATGTAGAAGAAAGTCAGGGAGAAAAATGGAATCTGTACATCCACCCCATGGTTTCCCATCATTTTCTCAGACGGAAAAAAATTTGAGAACCAGGACACTTAATGAGTCTATGTTAAGTCAGACCATCCAAAAGAAGAAAAGCAAAACTCAAACCCCAGTGCACCTTATATTTGGCTTGATCAACAACTATTTCTCTTTCTTCCTCTGGGTACCTCTGGAAAGGCAGAGATGAGTAAGAAAAAAAAGAACTATGAGATGCCAGGCATTTTTTTTGTGTGTGATTTAGACTGACCTGATTAGAGCTCACTCTGAACCCACAACTACCACCATGGAAAGAAGAAAAAAGAGGGAGGTCAGAGGAATCTTGGCTATCCTGAGCATTCTGGTTTGAGAAGAGAAGTGAAGTCTAAGTTGTCCAAGATCAGAATTTGTCCTGAACTCACAAGGATCTTTTAGGATAGAGAGTTGGAATCACAAGGCAGTCACAGGCACTCCACACCTACATTTCCAATGCTGCAGTCACTTATCCACTATAGGTGAACCCCATCTGCCCTCTCAGGAACACATCACCCAAATAATACCAGTACATGTGCTCACACACAGTCCACCCTAAGGATACACAATCACACCCACACATTAACAGACCCCTCCAACACAACACCACACAAAATCATACAGTGCTACAGAGTCACTCACTATCACATTCAATAGAGCCACACAGTCACAGTTCTCCTACTGGGCACTACACACAATCATACATTCAAAATAACACAATGGCCATGTATCTATTACCCTGGAACAAGCATCATAGGGCCACACACAGTTACATAATCACTTTCACACATTCTCACATAGTCACAGGCATCCAGTACACGGAGTGGTTCTAACATTCATACTATGACGCACATAAACCTCTCAGAGTAACAGTCACAGATGCATAAGCAGATTCTCCACGCCCATCCCCATATCCACATGTCACACAAAGTGAATAAGGTCACACACAATCGGTCCAATCTCGGGGACACGATCATACACGGACAGCCGCACACTGTTAACAAAACTACAGGAATGTGCAGTCACACAGGCACACACAGCTCTGCGCACGGTCAGTCACAACGACACACCCACCAGAGAAACAAAATCACATCCGCACACACACTGCGCCCCACAGTCACATAAGGTCACAACCACACCCAGAGGCCCACACCTCGCGACCGCTCCCCTGGCCAGAGCCAGTCCCAAGTTCCTGTCACCCCAGACCTACCTGGTATGTCCCTTCAGACGCCCAGGGACGTTCCTGCGCAGCCTGGTGAGGCCCCGGGTGCTTAGGCCGCTCGCTGCTGCGTACTTCCCCTGCCCTGGAGGCCGAGGGTCCCGCAGGCAAATGAAGCGGCCGCCCCGTCCTCGCGGGGGTCTCTGGGAAATGTAGTCCGCCAGCGCCCCTCGTGGGGAAGATGACGCCCATCCTCTAACTCCTCCCCTCGCACCGCCGGGGCCTGGCCCTGAGTCTCCGCGGTGGTTAGGCAGTCTTCAAGGTAAAAGCCCACACAAAGCCGGACAGCCATCGTGTCCACAAGATTCCTCAAATGCACAGGCCAACCTCAGGTTGTTCCCTGGAAACTGTTCAGCTGGAAATGAGTGGAGCCGCAAGAACTTCTGGGAAATGTAGTCAAGCGCCAGAAAACATAAGGCACAGGGCCAAGAGGAGAAAAAGTTGCTTTTACAGGCTTTCTCAGCTGAGCTACTGACGGTGAAGACTGACATTACCTGGGTCCTGAACCTTTCTAGGAGTTGTAACCAACTCTGAAGTCTCGGGCTGGCTCACAGAATCTCCAATTTTGCATTCCTAGGGTGATAAGCTGAGCCATAGTATAGGATATACGATTCCATTTGTATGGAATTATCCAGACTAGGCAAATAAATACAAACACGGAGTATATTAGGTATTTAGGACTGCAAAGCTAGGGGACATTGTGATTGATGATAGATATAGGGCTTCTTTGGGGGAGGGATTAAAATATTCTTGAAATGGATAATAATGATGTTTGCTCAACTCTGTAAAATACCAAAAGAAATCAAATTGTACACCTTCAAAGAGCTTATTTTATGCTTTGCGAATTATTTCTGTGTGTGCATGTGTTTGAGACGGGGTCAGCTCTCTTTAAAGAAAGCCCCATTCTTGTCTGCAATGCTAATCCAATAATAAGGACAAGGTTTTGAGAAAAAGGAAAAAGGTTTATTGCTTTGCTAGCAAAGGAGAAACACAGGGGACTCCTGTCCGCGAGGCTGTGATTCTGACAGGGCTTTTAGAGAAATGATTGAAAGGCTACTTTCTAGCTGTGCCCTGTCAGAGACATAGTTCATTTTGCAGGTTTGTTTTCCCCAAGCTTAGGGTGGGAGAGAGAAAAAAAAAAAAAAAAAGAGGGGAAAAAATGTCAGTTTTAAAGTAAGTATCAAGGGCTGGTGTTTTGGCTCAGCGGTAGAGCACTCGCCTAGCATGTGCGAGACCCTGGGTTCGATCCTCAGCACCACATAAAAATAAATAAGTAAAATAAAGGTACTGTGTCCAACTACAACTAAAAAATAAAAATAAAACAAAGTAAGCAACAGTAGTAGAGCAGCAAAGTTTATGTTCAAGGCTTGAAACAGACCCTGTTACACTGTGTTGCCCTGGCCAATCTTGAACTCTCCTGGGCTCAAGTGATTCTCCCCGCTCACTGCCAGTATGTGCCACCATGCCAGCAAGTGTTTTTGCTACCTGCAGCCCAGCCTGGGAACTGCTTGCATCCAGGCTTGCTTGTCGTGTTCAGCCAACCACCTTTATAAGAAATAGACAATGGAAAATGGAAAAAAATAATTTTATACAGTTTGCTTAAACCGGGGAGAAGCAGCTGGATTGTTTCTCTGCTGGTCCTATAGAAGCTGCTCCAATTTATAAGAAAAACATCAGTTGATATGCATATGCAGATTTAGTTAAGCTGAGAACTTGTTGGTGTTGTTTTCTTTTTTTTTTTTTTTTTTTAAAAGAAAGAGTGGGAGAGAGAGAGAGAGTTTTTTAATATCTATTTTTTAATTCTCGGCGGACACAACATCTTTGTTTGTATGTGGTGCTGAGGATCGAACCCAGGCGAGCGCGCTACCGCTTGAGCCACATCCCCAGCCCCTGGTGTTAGTTTCTTCCTATCTTTCCTCAGTATGAGGATGTTCAGAAGCTAAAAGTTTGGAGCTTTTTATTTCAAAAGTGGGTGGGTCTGTTTCATTTTTAAAAAATCAACTTTACTGCTGGGTATGGTGACACATACGTGTAATTCCAGTTTCTCAAAATCTCAAGTTGGAGGCCTCAGCCTCAGGGTATTAGTGAGACCCTCAACAACTTAGCAAGAGCAAGACCCAAAACAAAAAATTTAAAAGGAAATAAAAAATAAAAAGGGCTGGGAGTGTCACTCATGGGTAGAATGCCCTTGGGTTCAATCTCCAGTACCACAAAAACAAACAACACTTTGTTGAGCTTCACTTAAATACAATAAAATGCACATATTTTTAAGTGAATTGTTTGATAAGGTTTAACAAATGTTAAACCATCATAATCAAGCTATAGACCATTTTTATCCAATTTGCTCCCAATGTTCCTATGACTTTCTTCAATCATGCCCTATCCCTACTCCCCAGGTGAAGCATCCACTAATTTAAAATTTTTTAAAATATTTTTTAAGAGAGAGAGAATTTTTAATATTTATTTTTTAGTTTTCGGCGGACACAACATCTTCATTTGTATGTGGTGCTGAGGATCGAACCCGGGCCGCCCGCATGCCAAGCGAGTGCGCTACCGCTTGAGCCACATCCGCAGCCCCATCATCCACTAATTTATATTCGGTCACTATAGAGTAGTCCTGTGTATGAGTCTTGCTTATCAAGAGTTCCATATAAATGAAACTGAGATGAAGACAGTCCTTAGTCTTATGGGGTTAACAGAGATACCATAAATGGGGGCTTAAAAAGTACACCAATCTTGCCAGGCACAGTTGGGATGGCTATCCCAGCAGCTCAGGAGGCTGAGACAGGAGTATCAGAAGTTTAAAGCCAGCCTCAGCAACTTAGCAAGGCCCTAAGAAACTTAATAAGACCCTGTTTCAAAATAAAAAATTAAAAGGGTACCCCGGGTTCAAGCCCCAGTACCAAAATAAATAAATAAAATAAAATAAAAATCTGTTCAGCTTTGTCCTTTGTTTGAGCCAGCCTGGAGTTTCTGTCCCTTATGTGCTGCCTCTCTTTGTACTCAAGTTTGAGAATAAAAAGCCTTGTTCTGTGCCAGTCCGCCTTTGATTCTTCTAACAGCACAAGAGCCCACAGTCACCAATAGAATCACACAGTAGGTGTACTTTTTTGATCTGGCATCTGTCTCTCAGCATGATGTTTTTGAAAAGATTCATCTATGCTCTTTTCTATAACAGTATTTCTTTTTGTTGCTGAATAATATTTTATTTTATGAATGTATGTGTTTGTACATCAATTCATGTGTTTATGCATATTTAAGTTGTTTTCAGATTGGTTGATGTGAATAAAATTGATATAAGTGTTTGTGTTCAAGTCTTTTTGTGAACAATTATGCCTTCACTTATGTTAGGAAATATGTAGTAGAGTAATTGGTGAGTCATATAAGTGCATATTTAATTTTGCAAGAAACTGCTAGTCTGCTTTGCTAAGTGGTTATACCATTTATATTCTCACCAGCACTGTATGAAACATCTAGCTATTTCATTTCCTTTCAATATGTCTTTCTTTTCTTTTTCTGGTACCAAGGATTGAACCCAGTGGCACTCTACCACTGAGCACATCCTCAGCCCTTTTTAATATTTTATTTAGAGACTGAGCTTGATGAGTTGCTTAGGCCTTTGCTAAGTTGCTGAGGCTGGCTCTGAACTCTCAATCCTCTTGTCTTAGCCTCCCAAGCAGCTGGGATTATAGGCATGGACCATCCCCTTCAACACTTTCTACTGTCAATCTTTAGAGTTTTCATTATCTAGAGGATGAAAAGTGGTATCAAATTGTGATTTTGATCTGCATTTCCTGATGACTATTAATTTCAGCATATTCTCATGCCCTTATTTATCATTCTTAAAGACGTGTCAATTTTATTTTCAGTTTTAAAATTGGTTGCTTGTCTTACTATTGGGTAGCGGTTTTTATTTATTTATTTATTATTATTGGTTGTTCAAAACTTATTTATTTTGAATAAATACATAATATGCATAAAAAACAAACAACAATAAGTGTTGGCAAGGATGTGGGGGAAAAGGCACACTCATACATTGCTGGTGGGACAGTAAATTGTTGCAACCAATATGGAAAATAGTATGGAGATTACTTGGCAAACTTGGAATGGAACCACCATCTAACCCAGATATCCCACTCCTCGGTTTATACCCAAAGGACTTAAAAACAGCATACTACAGTGATGCAGCAATATCAGTGTTTACAGAAACACAATTTACAATAGCTAAATTGTGGAACTAACCTAGATGCCCTTCAGTAGATGAATGAATAAAGAAAATGTGGTATATATATACACAATTCAATACTACTCTGCATTAAAAGAGAATAAAATCATGGCATTTGCAGGTAAATGGATGGAGTTGGAGAATATTATGCTAAGTCAAGTAAGCCAATCCCCCGAAAAAAATGACAAATGTTTCCTCTGATATATGGATGCTGATCCATAATAGGGATGGGGGAAGCATGAAAGGAATGGAGAACTTTATGGCAAAAGGGAGGGAGAAAAGGGAAGGGGTGTGGGGGTAAGAAAGATGGTGGAATGAGATGAACATCATTACCCTAAATTCATGTAGGAAGACGCAAATGGTGTGACTCTACTCTGCATACAACCAGAGACATGAAAAATTGTGCTCTATATGTTTAATAGGAATTGAAATGCATTCTGCTGTCATGTATAACAAATTAGAATGAATTTAAAAATTAAAAAAATATATACATGTTGAAAATATTTTCTCCCTGCCTGGAGCACATTTATGTATTTATTTTTGGCTGTACTGGGGATTAAACCCAGGGCTTGCACATGCTAGGCTTTATCACAGAGTCACATTCCCAGCCCTTCTTAATATTTCATTTTGAGACAGGACCTTCCTAAGGTAGGGAAGCTGGCTTCCAACTTGTGATTCTTCTGAAACAAGGGGATGCACAAATGCACCTGGCTCCTCTCAGTTTTTGTAAAAAGTATTTTTATTAGTTGTTGATGGACCTTTATTTATTTATTTACGTGTAGAGCTGAGAATTGAACCCAGTGCCCCACATGTCCACCATGCGGCCTGCGCAATGGTTTCAT